GAGGCGTGGGACAGCGCGGGGGCGGCGTACGAGATGGCGGGGGCGGCGTAGGAGGCGTGGGACACTACGGGGGCGGCGTAGGAGGCGTGGGACACAACGGGGGCGGCGTAGGCGGAGTGGGACAGGACAGGAGCGGCGTAGGCGGAGTGGGACAGGACAGGAGCGGCGTAGGCGGAGTGGGACAGCATGGGGGCGTCCCAGCTGGACAGACCGCCGTCCCAGCTACCGCTGCTCCAGTCGTTGGCCCAGCGTTTGCGCTTAGGGGTGTCCTTGTCCTTGGTGGCGGGGCTGGCGACGGCGAGGGTGGCGAGAGCCAGAACGATGGCGACCTGGCAGAGAAGGAAACAGTGCGAGAAACAGTGTCAATGAGCTGGGAAGCCACCGGAAGTCGCAGAACTGAACCACCGCTGTCACCGCCAGGGTCTCACCTGAACCTTCATGTTTACTATGAACTGTTCTCTTAACGTCCTGGAGGATGCTGAGGTGCGCTGTTCGGCTGCTCGTGTCGCTGTGCCCTGACCGACGACGTCTCCGGCTTATATACCGGGGATGATCCATCGGCCAAAATCCGGATCGAGCACCCATTTTTTCCCTCACTCTACGACATTATGGCGATGGCCGGTGCGGGAGCGCGAGAGAGAACTAGAGATGTCGCCCTCTTTGGTCAGTTCGGTCTCGATTGTTACCGCAGTCCGGCGACACAATAAGACGACTCGGCATTTGGAGCGGAATCAGCGGCGCGCCGTGAGCTGCCCGTGCATAGTAATTGGGTGGCGTGTCGGGCAAGGTCACTGGGCAGCGCGCCGGTCGCGCGGCCATAGGTCCCGGGGGGACGATGCGACGGTGTGACCGTCCCCGTTGATTCCCCGGCGACAGGTGACAGTGCTGCGGGTCAGATTGCGGGTGGGTTGGGCCCGACTCTGTCTCAGCCGAAGGCGTTGGAAGCTGCGGAGACGGAAGGCGAGACTCGCTGTGCACGTCTGACGGCACCGCCCGGAGAGCGAGCGAAGGATGAAGGCCAAGGTCGCGGCCACGAGCATCCCGATGAAAGTGAAGCCGGCCCGGCGTGGCGCGGCGCGGCGCTCAATTGGGGCAGTCGAGGCGGGGCGGGCGCAGGCTGGGCGGGCGGGGCGAGGTGGCTCGGCCGCATAGCGAGCCGCGATCACGAACCTCGGCTCGGCCGATGGTGTGAAACTGATCCCCGGCGCGCCCACATGCACCCCGACAAACACCTTGGCTTCCGGGTGGCGCGCGGCGCAGCAGGGTCCGCTGCAGTCGCCGGAGGGGAGGGGTCAGGGCGATGGCCGCCTATCCCCGCCGCCCGCGCCTGCGGCCCAGGCCTGCTGCCGATCGCCGGTCAATCTGGTCACGATTCGGCCGCCTGCTGCCCTTCTCCCCTCCTCCCTGCTGCACTTCCACCCCTTCCCCGCTGCACTTCCTCCTGGCACTTGCGCACACCGCCGGCAGCTGCAGCCCCGGAGCGCCGCCGCCCACGCGAGGCCGGGTTCTGACGGACGCGCCCTCCGCCCCCAGGCCCCCGGGCCTTCGCTCGCGATGTTGTACCGTGGTTTGCTTTGGCAGAGTCCACCAGCACTAGCTGGAGGGCCGACCGAGGCGTGCACAGCGTGACCCGAGTTACGGGTGGCTCCAGTTCGCTATGAACAAGCAGTCGTTATAACCCTTTTTGAAGTTGAAGAAAACGCGCGCAGCGCTGCTCCCGGCCTTGGCGCTGGGGGTGAAGGCGAGTGACGGCTGCCCCGGGGGGCCCCGGGCAGGGCCGGCAGGGCGCGGACGGGATCATACTCAGCGCCCTATCGAGCCCCATTATGTGCCGATCTCCGCGGCGCCGAGTCGTGTCGACTAATGACGCCCCGCATACTAATTGAATGGTCGTAGAACTCGCCGTTAGCCGTGTACACTACCCGCACACCCTGTACAGCAAGACTGTTTACCTGCTTAATAAGTCATATACGTGTTTCCATTTTTATTACCGTTGAAGAGTGAGAGCGACATCTCCCCCCCTCCGCCCCTGGCCACGCTTACATCCAAGAAGACTCATCCGCTAACCCGTTCCCTCCCAGACGGTTCCCGGGCAAACCAACCCAGAGCGTTAGGCCCCGCAGTCGACCGCAATAAATTGTCGCCAAACAGGAGCACGGACGGCCTGTTTGTCCTTTTGCTGCGTTTTTTCCGTTGTGAGACGAGGAAGCGACATTTCACCCGACATTTTTATATATATAGTCCCCTCTATTATCTCATATGGTTTCATTGTGAGTTTCCTCAGTTTTTTCTCTCTTTTTTTTATTTTCATGGAAATAAAATGAGCAGTAGTTGTTGTGTGATATTTGCTTGTCTGTTGACGCGCGTGGACATTGGACCTGATGGCCTTAAGGTGCACCGCGGCCAGTATTTAGCACGGCTCGTCGGCGCATAGGCCAGCCTGCCTCGGAGCGTTAGACACACCCCTGCGCCGCGCCGCGCCGCGCCGCGCTCGGGGAGAATTCAGCAATCAATTACGGTCCAACTGAACGCCCCCTGACGGTCTGAACAATTAACGGTTATTCAGAATGGCTAAGGGCAAGCGGGCAGGATAAGTAGTGGCCGTGCCGCGGCGACGGACATTCGTCTTGCCCGGTCGACACTTGCACTGCCACCGCCGTCTCTGCCAGGCCAACTGCCGCTGCTGCCGCCGCTGCTGCTGCTACCGCCGCCGCCGCGGCTGCAGCCTGGCCAGCACACGGTCAGTGTCGCAAGGCAGTGATGTGATAGTGATTCAAGGGGGCACTGCGGCCGGCGCCCGCATTGGCTAAGGCAAAGCGTCCTCCGGCGTGTCCCGGACGGGGGTGATAATGGGGACACCTGGATATATGAACCCGTAATGTTTGCGCGCATGTGTAACACTTCACGCCCGACTTGCGACGCGACGCAACACTGTCGCTTTTAGTTGAGCAGCCTTTAAAAATTGTCTAACAGTTTTCAGCCGACCCTACTGCTTTCATAAAGCAACGCAGGGGGCTTATGCAATATTGATACTTTCTATTACTTACACTTTTCATGGCATGCTCGTTTGCTGTATAAAATTATCAAATCCACACAAAGTGACAAATCACCAAACACGAATAAAAGCACAAAAAAAAATAAGGTTAATTTATCAAGAATGTAGACTCACTGTACACGCACCGACGCGCAGTTTACGGACAGCTTGTAGGCTTAGGGCTCGCCCCGGATCGCCCAGAAAGCCTGGCCGTATTCATAGATTCATTCGACAAATTGCGGGAGCTCGGTGCCTGCGGGACTCCGGGGTGGGTGGGCCACCCAGCAGTACACGCTTGCCCTGAGGACGAGATGTTGCCTACCTATTAGGCGCTCGAAGAGTGTCCATGGAATGAACATAAAAATGTCGTTACTGTGAATGACGGAAATACTTTCTGGGTGGTCCCTTATTCCAGCCAACCGGCCAATCAGCTAGAATTACCAGGGCAACTGTTAACCCCATAAATATCAGCCAATCTTGTTGCAATATACGGTCTATAAAGGCCATCAACGCCACTAGGACAACTAAACCCGGGACGATTGTATGTTTACTAGTGCGGACTTAGCTCCCAGCTCGACGGCCCATCAGAGTGACCCCACTCTAAAAGTGTCGCCTTATGGTGTCGCTGGACTCCGGAACAATCGGCCGGCACCCAATGCCAAACACTACTGTCCGAATGTGTCTGTGCGACTGCCTGTTAGTCTGTCGCTCTTTCGTGCGCTCGCGCTCCCGCACCGGCCATCGCCATAATGTCGAAGAGTGAGGGAAAAAATGGGTGCTCGATCCGGATTTTGGCCGATGGATCATCCCCGGTATATAAGCCGGAGACGTCGTCGGTCAGGGCACAGCGACACGAGCAGCCGAACAGCGCACCTCAGCATCCTCCAGGACGTTAAGAGAACAGTTCATAGTAAACATGAAGGTTCAGGTGAGACCCCGGCGGTGACTGCGGTGGTTCAGTTCTGCGACTTCCGGTGGCTCCCCAGCTCATTCACACTGTTTCCTTCTCTGCCAGGTCGCCATCGTTCTGGCTCTCGCCACCCTCGCCGTCGCCAGCCCCGCCACCAAGGACAAGGACACCCCTAAGCGCAAACGCTGGGCCAACGACTGGAGCAGCGGTAGCTGGGACGGCGGTCTGTCCAGCTGGGACGCCCCCATGCTGTCCCACTCCGCCTACGCCGCTCCTGTCCTGTCCCACTCCGTCTACGCCGCCCCCGTGGTGTCCCACGCCTCTTACGCCGCCCCCGTAGTGTCCCACGCCTCCTACGCCGCCCCCGTAGTGTCCCACGCCTCCTACGCCGCCCCCGCCATCTCGTACGCCGCCCCCGCG